TTAAAGCAAGTTTCGTAGTTATTGAGTAAATGCAAAAAATCACTAAGACTTGGTGAGTTTTCGCTTTTACAAGAAATGGATTAATTACACTTTGTTTACATACCAGTTAAAGATTTTGTCTTGATCAGTTAACCTCGTGGTATAGATCTTCAGCAAGTATTTTATGAATTAAACGTAGTGTCAGACTTTAAAACGTACGATTAGTTACTTAAATATTTCAAGTGTGTAAACATGCTTGGAACCAATAGATTTAGAAGACAAACAAAAATCAACTTCGAATTCAGCATTTTTGTCTGTAATTGTTGATTTATAGAAAGTTTTTCAGATTCCGTAAGCTAGCGAATCACCTCCCAACGATGCACACTGTGTGGTATGGTTAGAATTAAACAGTAAAAGGGGCAGCAGTGAAATTGGAACTACAATAGTGCAAAAAATTTTAGAGTCAGGTCATTCGGTTATGAAGGTAGATTGTATCGAAAAAGGACAACGTTTAGTACCTGTTTATTCAGTATCTGACTGGATGAACATTATGAGAAGGTCAAGATCGGCCAGAAACCGTTCAACTGCACGTCCCTATAAGGTGCACCAATTAACATTTAATGATATCATGGATCTAAAAGTCTTATCTAAAAAAAGTTATAAAAAATCGTGTCAAAGACGAATCACATGTTTACGTTATGAAAAACAAAACCCTGACACAATCATGTTTTGGTACGGCCACAGTGGTCCTTAAAATACACTGAGTATACTTGGCCGAGGAAGAAATCCAAACATAAGCAAGATTAGTATTGGAAAGCATACTAGATCTGCCAAATCTCCGTCGTAAAGGAATTATACCGTAGCAACTATAATATTATAAACTAATACCTAACAACATAACATAATTCAAAATATAAGAAATAAAATATTACATTTATGACTCCTAGTGATTTGCCGACTTTTCAACATGGCTATACACCATTTGATTGTCGTTGGTTGTATATAGTAGCCTTCTCTATGGATTCATAGGAGGTGTTATTAAAAGCACCCTCTACGTCTATGAAAGCACATATTGATATCTCTTTGGTTGCACTTGCCTACTCTAAAGTGCTAATCTAGTTTCAGGTAAGCATGTTGGCTAGAGTGGAGTGGATCAGTGATAAGCACTCTATCCCTAAGGTATTGATCAATTACCTTTTCCAACCCTTTGAGGAAAAATGAAGCTAGGCTAACCTTTATTTTCCTCCATAGTGTGGGTATATAGTAATTCAAATTATTAACGATAATACTTTAGAATCGGAGCATGTTATAAAAAAACTTGTAAAACAAAAGTTGTAGTCAATTCTATTCTTAACAATATTGCTCTCTTGCAGTTTTGCTCTTGGATGTGACAATATCGGGAAAAGTACGAAAATATGAAAATTTGATGAAATTGATTTTTCAAATTTTATAAGTAACGCTCTGGAATTGAAACATGTTATAAAAGAACTATTAGAACAAAAGTTATAGCAAAGTCTATTCTTAACAACATTGCCCTCTTGCAGTTTTGCTCTTGGATGCGTCAATATCGGAAAAAATACGAAAATATGATGAAATTGCTGATTTTTCAAATTTTATGAGGAACACTCTGGAATTGGAATATGTTATAAAAGCACTATTAGAACAAAAGTTGTAGCAAATTCTATTTTTAACAATATTGCCCTCTTGCACTTTTGCTCTTGGATGCGTCAATATCGGGAAAAATACGAAAAATGAAAATTTGATGAAATTGTTGATTTTCAAATTTTATAGGTAACACTCTGGAATTGGAATATGTTATAAAAGAACTATTAGAACAAAAATTGTAGCAAATTCTATTCTTAACAATATTGCCCTCTTGCACTTTTGCTCCTGGATGCGTCAATATCGAGAAAAATACGAAAATATGAAAATTTAATGAAATTGTTGATTTTTCAAATTTTATAGGTAACACTCTGGAATTGGAATATGTTATAAAAAAACTATTAGAACAAAAGTTGTAGCAAATTCTATTCTTAACAATATTGCCCTCTTGCACTTTTCCTCTTGGATGCGTCAATATCGGGGAAAATATGAAAATTTGATGAAATTGTTGATTTTTCAAGTTTTATAGGTAACACTCTGGAATTGGAATATGTTATAAAAGAACTATTAGAACAAAAGTTGTAGCAAATTATATTCTTAACAATATTGCCGTCTTGCACTTTTGCTCTTGGATGCGTCAATATCGGGAAAAATACGAAAATGTGAAAATTTTATGAAATTGTTGATTTTTAAAATTTTATAGGTAACACTCTGGAATTGGAATATGTTATAAAAGAACTATTAGAACAAAAGTTGTAGCAAATTCTATTCTTAACAATATTGCCCTCTTGCACTTTTGCTCTTGGATGCGTCAATATCGGGAAAAATACAAAAATATGAAAATTTGATGAATATGTTGTTTTTTCAAATTTTTAAAGGTAACACTCTGGAATTGGAACATGTTATAAAAGAACTTTTAGAACAAAAGTTGTAGCAAATTTTATTCTTAACAATATTGTCCTCTTGCAC